GGGGACGCGGGGTCGGGGGAAGGGGTCGCTCACTGGGCGGGAGCGGAAAGATCGGCGGATGACTGGCGGCGTGACCTGAAGTGCAGGTGCGGCGCGGCCCGACGCCAAGTCCAGGAGGCCATCCTAGCCTCGGGTCCGTCGAGGGCTGTGCTTTCAGTGGTTGCTTCGTCAGAAGAAGGTGCACAGTAGACGGCTGGCCTGTGTTCCAGAAGCTTCGCAAACGGTGATGAGTCCAAGGCCACCGTGTGTATGCAGACCGCGCGGGCCTGGGAGGTTTGCCGTCTGCCCCTGAAGCGCTGACCTGCACGACTTCAATTTGCTCATCTGTAAGTGGGCGTATTAATGGCTAGTGCAGTGCCCCGGTTCTCGGAGAAAGGGTTGTGAAGTGTATGCAGACTGCGTCTTACTATGTGGCGGTTGTGTTGAAACTGGACACGTGTTTTAGGATTTTCTGAGGCAGCACCCACAGATGGGCACCAGATTCTTTTCAAACCAGCTATCGCTGTGGGAGAAGCCAACCACAAATGTTAGTGATTTATCATTACTTCCTAGAGCGCTGCAGGTTGAGTGGGTTCAGGTAGACTGCCCTTGTGGGCATCTCCATCACAGCTGCACCCAGCTGTCATCCAGGTGTGTGGTTAGATGAAGACCCAACATGGCGGGATGGCTTTGTGTCCAAGAGGCACAGCGTCACCTGTGAGCTGGGCCGAGGCTGTCAACCTGGGCAGAGGAAGAGGATGGACTTCCTGCAGCACAGAAAGTGAGAGCAGTCAAGCCATCAGAGGCTGCGTTCTGAACAGGCCTGGGACACCGTGTCCTACAACGTGCTAGTGGGTTGTTAACAGGTATCAATTGTTTGCCAATTCAAATATTAACCACCTTTGGAGCTCCAGCATTAGCCTGTGGGCGGGCTCTCCAATTTGGCCAATTGCTAGGGCCCTTTGCCTCAGTTGTCAGTTTGGGTGGTGACAGGCAAGCCTGCAGCACCCTTGGATTGTAGGGCTTGTATTAGCCAAAATCTAGGCATGTGGGCCTTCACATTTGTCATGTTGGTTTAAACAGTGGCTTCTTTGGAATGTTTGGGACTTTGGTTTGCAAAACACTGGAAACAGACCAATAGTAACCAGACCAACATTCAGCAGAATGGTGTACAGCTTCACCTGACTGGGTTTTGTTGTCTGATGTTGATTTAGCTCCAGCATGTATTACTAACAAGGCAAGACTGTTAGGTTTTATCGTTACAGGTATGATGTGACTTTATTATCTCCAAATGTGTTTTTTATTTACCAAGTAGAATTTTCTTTCTTTTTTGGTAGTCTACACTGTGAGAATGGCTGTGGAGTACTACTTTTAGCTTTCTGGAGGAGAGAAATTATTAAGGGGCTTATTTACAATGAATCTTCACCTCCAGAGAGACAGGACACATCCCCCATTAAATATAGGGCAGGATGATGGAAAGGCTTTTAAAGTTGATGTTAAGTGTGAGTCAGCCACGGGGCCTTGAATTAAGAGAGACGAAGGCCTGGGGCAAGACAGAGATCCATTTAGGGATCCATGTGCTAGTATGGTATTTGAAAAGGAGTTGAGGAAATCATTACGTCTCTCAGTTAAACTGGATATCTGGGATGTGTGCCTGGGTTCATATCGGTAAGGACTGAAACTCTGGAAGGAATAAGGACAGGGCCACATCTGGACATGGATTTGCCTTCCCTGAACACAGTGCTTTGGCCAAAAGTACCATCTGTGGCCTCACAGAATGCCATATCGACACATGGTGTTCCACTGCCGCTGATCAAGGAACTCCCTAGCAACAAAAGAAGTGCAGCTATGGGCCCACACTCATGGAACCCACTGGTCTTATCATGCTGCCACCACTCTGAAGCAGCCGGCTTGATAGAATAGTGGACTGGCGTTTTGAAGACTCTGTTATAGGACCAGCTATGAGGCAATACCTTGCAGGGCTGGGGCAGGGTTCCCCAGAAAGTTCTGTATGCTTTGAATCAGTATCCAACATATGCTGGTGTTCTTCCCATAGCCAGAATCAAGGGTCCAAACTCAAGCAGTGGAAGTGAGCGTTGCAGTGCTGACTATTGCTCCTGGTGACCTGCCGGCAAGATTTTTCCTTCCTGTTCCTACAGCCTTATACTTCGCTGAGGTAGAAATCTTAGTCCCAGAGGGAGGAATGCTTCCACCAGGAAACACAGTAATGATTCCATTTATTTGGAAATTAACCCATTTCCCATTTAGGAAAAAAAAAGTGCTGCTTGCTGCCAGCGTTAATTTCACATAAACATGCTCCTTGAGGCTGAAGCAAATCTGACTGGTTTTCAATATGAAAATAAAATATGAAAATTGTTCTTGGAGTTATTTCTAACAGAACTTGCCTCTAATTCTAATGTAACAGAAATGTATACATAAATTGCATTCATCAAATGAACCTTTGGCTAACAACAGTTCAAGAACGATGTTAACATCGTGTGTGGGAATGATATATATTTTCTAGGATTTGACGTTTTCAGCAATTGAGAATTACTGTATTTTGTAAATGAAAATACTACTGAAAACAGAATGTTATGAATAGAATGATGTCATTTGTTTCCAAAGACTATCAGTATATAGAGAGATGCAAAAATAATAAAAGCGATGTATTTCGTGGCAAGCTTTGGCGGTGAGGTTAGGACTGTGACCCATGGGTTATCTCGGGGTAAACGCTGCAGCCACAAGCGGTGTGGGCGAGTATTCTCGGGGCAAATGGGAAGTGGGTTAGGACTGGTGCCCAGCCACTCTGAGCTCCTCATGCCTCTGAATCGACAGGCAAAGAAGGAAGTTGGTGAGCTGGCTGAGCTGGCTGGTGTGCCTGACCCTGACACCATGGGGCAGCTGGACTGCTATCCCAGTGGAGGTGAGGAGGGAGGTGTCAAATTATGATATAGGAGGTCCCTTAGAGCATCTCTTAGCAGTGCCATGCCCTTTGATTAAAGGCAGTGAAAACTGTAACAACCCAATCCAGGCAGGACTGCTAATCACCCAGACCCTTCAGGAATGAATGTTTGGGTCGCCCCACCAGGTGAAAAAGCACGACTAGCTGAGTTGCTTGCTGAAAGCAAAAGAAATGCAGAATGGGTAGCGGTAGAAGGTGAAGTTTGAGTTCTAAATACCAGCTCTAACTCTGTGACCAGTTAGAGAAATGGGGACTTGCACTGTCATGAGTTTTCCTCATTTCGTTTGAATATGTTCCTATGTGTGTGTGTATGGCAAATATATTTGTTTTATTCCCTCTCATTCTCTTATCATGTGACATAAGATGTGTTGACTTTACAGCACATTCCTTAAGTATTGTTACCTTTACCTCAGTTTTTGTTACAGGATATCATGGAGAACAGTAAACACCACTGAAGGACATGGTTGTATGCAGCATAGCTGTATCACGTGCGATGGCATTTTGACCTTTTTATTGTCTTTATTGGGTGATGAAGTGATTTAAGGAGATGCATATGGGTGGCAGGGTGACAAGGGGTGGATTTTTATGATGGTCAATTTTGTGTCAACTTGACTAGGCCATGGGACGCCCAGACTTATGGTCAGGCGTTATTCTGGGTGTGTCTGTGAGGGCGTTTGGATTGGTAGACCAGAGTAAAGCAGCCGGCCTCCAAATTTTATATTCATTTCGCCATCCTGTAATTTGTCTATAGACTCCTCTACGTTTCTAAAGTACATAAGCATAAATTCTTACGCTTCATTTCTTTCCTGTTTTCAGTTAGAACTTCGGGTAGGTCAGTAGTATGTGAATATACCTGAAATGCTTTAAACATTTCACCAATAAGTTTAAAGAAAGTTACCTTCTCTACCTAGATATTTTCGTTTTCTTTTTTAACAAATAGGTATTACCTGTTAAGGGCCTTTTATTCATCAGTTGAATTACTTGCTTTCTTTAAAGTTGTGAATTAACTCAATCTACAGAATTAGTTCTAATCATGGGCTTAGCCAAATTGCAGTTTTTAGATGTTTCCATTTCGTCCAAGTGACTATATTAATTTCCACGAGACGCATGATTTACTTTGATAGGGTGTTGCCCTTTCATGCATAACACAGGCACGACTGGCCCTATCTCACAGCTAGAAAACAGGCTGACTCTGAGGTTTGATGCCTAAGGTCTCCTGACTGACTGAAGAAGTCCCCACTGTCTCCTGTCCTTCCGTGGAGGCAGTGCTTTCCACTCTGGGGCCTGTATGGGTCTTTCCAACCACACCACGTCACTGTCCTACCTGGGAGTGGGAGCCTCTCCAGAGAGGGGATCACTGCATGTAATTCTCGTTTTTTGACCCAGGAGCACAGACCTCGACTCCCATCATCACCTTTCCTTTACTGGGTCGATGCATGTGGGTGGATCGGAAGCCTGCCTCGGGTGCACAGCCCTGGGTAAGTGGCTTCTAGCACGCCGAGGATCTCTTAACACGTTATGGAACAAGTGCCTGTCATGTTTGGTGCCCATGAGCACAAACTGCACTTAGCCTCCAATTACATTTCTTTTTCTCAGCTAATCGGTGGGGGCTGTGGGCCCACTGATTGTAACTGACTGTCTGAGGTCCCCAGCACCTTGGTCCTCGTTGATGGGATTTCTGGGGTTCTGTGTAGTCCAAACCTAAGAATTGAAGAAACTATCACAGGATGGGTTCACAGAACCCCTGGGTCCACCGTGATGGGGTCTCAGCCTGCATCCCCTCTGCCTGGGGACTCAGAGTCATGTGTCAAGTCCTGGAGGTGAGCTGACCAGAGACTACGAGGTTAGGGAAGCATTTCTTGAGTGCCTGCAGTGGGACTCTGGCTGAGTCCAAGAGGGAGAGTGTAGCCAATGCTTCACTTCTCTCAAGGGCCAGGGGTCTTGGGCCGGACAGCTCCAACCCCCCGCAAAGATTCAGCTGAGACAGTTGTACTGAAACTGTGCCTTTATTTCCAGAAGCCCATGAAGTAAGCTTTAGGGCAGGGAGGGTCCTCCTTGCCTAGGAGGGTATCAGGCTCTTCTTAGTGGACAGCTCTGGGTATTTCTCCTCACGGACTCCAAGAAGCTTGGGATTGGCCTGTGGGAGGTCAGTGTCTGAGATGGCAATCTCCATGCATCCCTGTACCCACACCTCCCTGGGGCCCGCCCCCTCCTACCCCACCACTGCCAGCCTCAGTACCTTTGCCTTGGCTCTCCCTCTGGGAATACCCTTCCACAAAGACCACTGAGGACTCCCCGGACAGCCTCCATGCCTTCCCGCCCTCTAGCTCCTTTCATGAGCTGTCTCTGTTCCCTGCCACCTTACTCCAGGGCTCACAGCTTCTGCTGGGCCAGCCCCATCCTCCTGCTTGCTCTGTGCTTGAGCAGGGACCTGCAGTCCGAGCTTTTCCAGCTCCTCCTTCAGCCTGGACAGAAAGGGGTGGGGTTGGAGGGTGGGGAGGCAGAGGGACAAGAGGATGTGACCAGACCAGGAGACTGAGGCTGGCATGGGGCAGAAAATACCTCAGCCACCCTCCCCTTGTGAAATGGGGCAGGGGCTCCAGGCCCACCTCTGCCTCTTCTGCTGCAGCTGCTGGCACTTCTGCTGCAGCTGCTCGTGGTGCTGGGCAGCATCCGCCAGGAGCGCCTGTGCCAATCCGTTCTCCTCCTCAAACAGACGCCTGAGGGCGGGGCTGTCAGTGCCCACAGCCTCCTCCCTCCACCCAACTCCGCCCACCTGTCCCCCCCCTGCCCCCCACCGTCTTACACCGCGCTTGCTGCCTCCGGGCTGCGGAGGAAGAGCCCCTCGGTGATGTCTGAGTAGCCCTTCACCCCAAACTGGGAGCACAGACGATGCCTTACATCCTCTAGCTTTGCCTCCACCAGCTTCTCTGCAGTGGGAAGGAACAAGTGGGCTGGGAAGGGCCGGGCTGGGCTGGGCTGGGCAGGGCAGGGCCTTGCCATTCTCTGGGCCTCACCTTCCTTGAGCAGCTGCTCCTTGCTGCTGTCCAGGGCGCCAATCTCCTGGGCCAGGTGCTCTGGCCTCTGAGAAGGTAGAAAGGAGGCCCAATCACATCTCCTGGCTTCTTCTCATGCACCTCAGAGATGCCTACCTGGACCTAGTCTGTACTCAGCAGGCTTCAGTTCCTACTGCTCGTGCCCTCCATTTATGCCAGGCACAGTTCAGCCTCTGGGCCCTTGCACTGGCCATCGTGTCTGCCTGAAACTGTTTAAGCCCAGATACCTATGGTTCTGAGCTGGGGTGGCCCAAGAGGGGGTTAATGTTCAGGAATCTTGCAAGCTTTGAAGTCAGCCCTGGGGCGAGTATTTACCACAGGTGATGCTGCAAATACTACAAGTCAGGTTGCTCTCTGGAGAATCTGTTACCAGCCCGGCACTGCGGCTCCTCCTCCCTCGGGGGCCTCCTCATGGAGCCCTTCCCTCCCGACATTCACTCCCTCTGCTTATTTCCTTGTTTGGAGCCTGGGATTTCCCTGGTGGCAAACGTTGGCCTGCTTGGTTCCCACCATCTGTTCTGTGCCTGTGATGGCCCCAAACACACCCATGGATCTCCTTGATGGATGACCCCTCGTCAGTTCATTAGGTCCCTCCGGACCACTTAGGCCCCTGGGATGGACGAGCAGGACCAGCAGAGTGAAAACGGTGCAGTGAGGGTGGTGATGAGAGGCAGAACTGAGGGCAATTTTGATGTGTGGCCATCAGGGCTTGCTCAGGAACTGGGTGTGGCAGGTGACAGGAAGGAAGGCCCTGAACTTTGGCCCTAGTGCTGCCTGGAAGATGAGGAAGGTGGGAAGAGTGGCTTTGAGTGACTCACGTGGAACTCCCAGAGGTCCTTGTGCTGGCTCATCAGTTCCTCCAACTGTTCCTCGAAATCCAACCTGGGGGCCGACCACACAGGATGCAGGGTCATGGGTTGAGGCAGACTACCCCAACCTGGCCCAGGGTGGGGTCCTTCATGCCCAGACCTGAGTCCAGGGGTGGGGGTGGGGAGCTGGCTCATGTTCTTTGTGAGGCTGGGAGCAACTTCACCCCCTTAACCCTCTAACCATGCCCCTTATATTAACCCCACCTAAAACCCAGCGCAGCCACGCCCATCCCTGGACTCAGGCACTGGCCTTACCTCAGCTTCCTCTGTCTGTTCTTCTCTTCCTCGATCTGGGAGTTCAGGATAGAGATCCGCTCCTTGCACTCCTGCAGCATGGCTTGCTTCCTGGTAAGAGGTGAGGCGGCCTCAGTCATGTCCCCTGAATGTCTCCCCAGGATGGGGCTGGGGGAGGGCTTCTGCCTCCTCCTCCTGAAATGTCTTAGCCTTCTAGATTGAGGTCCTTCTCTGTAACGCACGAGCACGTTACAAATCTGGACATATCTTTTTGAGGATTGGATAGACCGATAGGGACATGGTCAAGTGCATAAGCACACACATGTGAATCTCATCTGAATTTCCCAAACAGTTCCAATCTTGGTATGTCTTGGCTTGGGGTCTCTGGTCACAAAATGAGCTAAACGAGTGTTCAGGAAGTGGCGAAAAGGGTGCACAAATAGTTGGGCGGATGGAAGGGTAACGCATGAGTGGAGGGAGACTGGGTGGAGAGATGGTTGGTCAATGCCTAAGTGAAGGGACAGATGGATAATTGAGTGATTAGGCAGCCAAGAGGCCTGTGGAAAGAGTAAAACTCATAGAATAAAAACCAGCTGAAGAAATGTAATTGATATTCTGGCAAGTGAATGAGTGAGGCACCCCTAGCACAACTGCCTACTGCTGGAGCCGAGGAAGAAGACACTTATCGGCCTCCCTGTGTGACAAGAGGTAAGAGTGGTGGGTCTGAGGCCTCCCCGTCCCTTCCTCACCCCACCAGAGGGTGGGGCGGGCAGAGCAAGGCCCGGGCAGAGCTCGTACCTCTGCGCCTCCGCATCCTTCTCCTGACAGTGGAGCCGGAGGGTCATCAGGGTCTCTGCAGGGAGAGGGACCGAGGGCTCCGTAAGAGCCTGTCAAGGCATCAGGTTTGGGGAGAGGTGACAGGGCCACATTACACGGGGTCTCGTGGCCAGCTGATGGGATTTTGTCATTTACTGCAAGTTTGATGGAAGTCACAGGAGGAATGTAAGCCGATTCGCTTTCAAAAGGCTTCAGCTGCTATGAAGAGAGCTTACGTACGCTGGCAAAGGCAAAAGCCTGGAGACGGAATAGCTATAATTACCTTGCTTTTTGCTCAAGATCCCTTTCAGGTGTACTTTTTCTTCACTCACTGGAAAACACAGTAACACATTTAGGCATCAGGGGCCACCCACTGCGCACTCAGGGACGGGGCTCGCCCGCTGTCACCTGGGTGTTTCGAGACGGCCCCAACCCCAAATGTGGATCCCTCGAGGTAAGCCCCGCTCATCTTGTGCCCACACTCCCTGTAAGCACCAAATAGCCCTGATGTTGATAAAGGGTGGCCGTGAGAACCCGCGGAATGTGTGTGCTTACATGCAGGGGAGAGAAAAAATAAACAGTGGGCTAAGAACTGTGAAGAAATACATCAAGCCATCAAGTACGCAGGTGGGGGCAGGGTGCTCTTTAGATGGGATAATTAGAGAAGGTCTGAGAATGGGACATTTGAGCTGAGGGCTGAATGATGACATTAAGCAAAAGGAACCTATGCTGTCTGGGGAACAGACTCGCAAAGGCCCGGAGTGGGGAGTATGCTTGTAGGGTGTTTTGGGAACATTCTCACCAAGCGTGGGAGGGTGGGAGATTGCAATGCCTGCGACCAGAGAGGACAGGGGCCCTTGGCCATAGCAGGATGCTGAGTGTCAGGGAGGTATGACATTTTGGGGACCCCTGGGCAAACCCTGGCACGCTTACATGAGTCTAGTTCCTTCTGCAGGGCCTCCCAGACAGTGCGGGCCTCTCCCAGCTCCTGACTGGCTTTCTTTTTTGCTGTGCCAAAGAGCAGAAGACAGACATCGTGTAAGTGTGGCTTCCAGCTGCACTGTTCCCTGCAAACCGTGACATTTCATGTTTGTCTTAAAGCAAACCTAGAGGGACCTAGCTTTTACCAAGCAGGAAATGAGGCTTCTTCAGCCCTTTCGTTAGGCTCAGTTGGCAGGAAGGCCAGGGGAATAATGGACACGCAACTATAGATAGCAGTTACACTTATGTGGACCCGTGTTTGGTTTAATACTGTTGTCGCTGTGGTGAACTACTCCGGAGTTTTTAGACAAGGGGTCCTGCATTTTCATTTTGCACTGGGCCCTGCGAATCACGTAGCTGGTCCTGGCTAACAAGCCAAGACCCTTGAGCTCACCTTGCTGAACTTCATTAATTCGGTTAATCAGGACTTCGACTCTGGGCTCCAGGCTTCCCGCTGCAGGAAGAGGACGTTCAGTGGAGATGACAGGGCAGGCAGAGGCAGGTGGGGGCTCTCCAGGGGCTCACATTCCGGGCAAAGGAAACAAGGGACAGATAACTAGAGATACTGACTTAGGCTGTGGCGACTACAGTCAAGAGAGAAATAGGCACGGGACGAAAGACTGAAGGGGCGGGACGTGCTCCTTCAGCTGCAGGAAGGGCTCCAGAGGGCCCCGAATCGAGAGGCAGGACCTGTCACTCCCGGGGTGCGGGGTGCGAGCGGGGCAGTCGGCACAGAGGTGGGAGCATGGCTGGGAGGAGCCTGGTGAGCAAGCAGAGAGCAGCAGGATGGAGGTGGGGGGAAGGGAGCTGAAGGGGAAAACCTGGATTTAACCGAGCGCAGTGGGAGCCAAACGGGTGGTCAGCAAGTGGGCTGCGACTGGGCTCTGGGAGATGCTTTGCTTGCTCTTCCCATCCACTTTAATAGGGCCATATTTTCATTTCGAGGAATTAACTTTTAAAAGTAAGAGAACGAATAAATTTCCCAACGTTGTGAATTATGGGGCGTGGAACCCAAACCTCAGGCTGAGCCTCAGTTATAGAGGGGACATATGACCTTTCTGCAACTTCTTCACCATTTCCATCAAGTCTTCAATGTTCTGTGAGTCCTTGGCCTGCCCTGTGAAGACAAAACCAAACATTTCAGAAGCCTATAGGAGTGAAAGGCTTAGAAAGGAAGATCCTTACAGGCTAAGAAAGATTAAACATTCAACCATTCTCACTAAATGGACCATATTTGGATCTTGATTCAAACAATTGCACTTTAAAAGATACTGATGACACAACCAGGGAAATTTGAAAATTGACTAGATATTTGATGAAACAAGAATTATTGTAACTAATATTCAGATGTGACAATGCTATTGTGATTTCTTTTCTGAAAAGAGTATCTTTTAGATATCTTTTAGACAAATACATGGAAATATTTATGGATAATATGCAATGATACCTGGAATGCTTTGAAATGAAATAGTAGAGTGGTTGATAAAGAGGAAACCAGACTGGCTAAAGTGCTGATAATTGTTAAAGTTGAAAGATAGGTTCATGGGATAATTATACTTTGTTCTTGAATTTCATATATAAATTTTTCCATAATAAAAACTTTAAAAAAAAACCAAACAACTACTCAATATAGAGAAGGTAAATAATCCTTTCAACAGAAAAGTGGAGAAAGGGACAGAACAGTTAACCAAAAATTACACAAGTGGCTGATAAATATTTAAAAAGATATACAACCTTGGTCATAATTAGAGATGAAAATATATTGTACTTAGCAGGCTGGTAAAGATTAGGAAGTCTGCTAACGCCCAGTGTTTGTGATGCGAGGAAACAGGCAGGCACACACTGATAGACTGGGAACCAGTGCAACCTTCTAGAGGGCAGTTTGGCCACATCAACACTTTGAAGATGTAATTCCACTTCTAGGAGTCTATTCATCAAATATGCTCACTTAAATATTCAAAATTCATGGTAATGGCACTGAAACAATATTTGTTAATGTCAACAGCAGGAAACAAATAGCCAGAGCAATTGTGAGAAAAAAACAAAGCCAGAGGTATCACACTCCCTGACTTCAAACTATTACAAAGCTACAAGAATCAAAACAGTATGGTATAGGAAGAAAAAGAGACACATAGACCAATGGAACGGAACTGAGAGCCCAGAAATAAATCCACAAACAGGCAACTAATTGTCAGCTAAGGTGCCAAAACCATACAGGAGAGCAAAGAAAGCCTCTTCAATAAATAAAGCTCGGAAATTTGGAAAGCCACATGCAAAAGAATGAAACTAGACTGCTGTCTGTCACCATACACCAAAATTAACTCAAAATGGATTGATGACTTAAAAAATAAGACCAGAAACAATAAAACACAGAAAAAAAGCATCAGTACTAAACTTATGGACCTTGGACTCACAGAGGATTTTATGAGTTTGACCCCAAAGGCCAGGAAAGTAGAAACAAAAATAAAAGAATGGGACTCCATCAAACTAAAAAGCGTCTGCACAGCAAAAGAAATCAACAAAACAGAAATGTAAGTAACTGAATGGGAGAAGATATTTGCAAACAATACTTCTGACAAGCAGCTGATATCCAGACTATATAAAGAACTCATACAACTCAACAACAACAAAACCAATCCTATTAAAAATGGGCAGAGGATCTGAACAGATACTTTTCCCAAGAAGACATGCAAATGGCCAAAGGACATATGAAAAGATGCTCAACTTCTGGAAAATGCAAATCAAAACCACAGTGAGATAGCACCTCACACCTATTAGAATGGCTATTATCAATAAGACAAGAAATAACGATTGTTGGAGAGGATGTGGAGAAAAAGGAACCCTCCTACACTGCTGGTGAGAATGTAAACTGGTGCAGCCTCTATGGAAAACAAAGTTCCCCACAAAATTATGAATAAAATTACCATATGCCCCAGAAATCCCTCTTCTGGGTACCTATCCAAAACTTCTAAAACATTTATTCATAAAGATATATACACCCCGATGTTCACTGCGGCATTATTCATGGTGGCCAAGACATAGAAACAACCAAAGTATCCTTCAATGGATGACTGGATAAAGAAGATGTTATACATACATACAATGGAATATTACTCAGCCACCAGATAAAATACTGCCACTTGCGACCAAATGCATAGATCTAGAGATTATTATGCTAAACAAAACAAGTCAGACGGAAAAGGACAAGAGCCATGCGATTTCATTCATGTGGGATATAAACAGAAAGCGACCAATGAACAAACAGAACAAATTCACGCAGATGGCAGAAGGGCAGTTACCAGAGGGGAAGGGGAAGGGGGGAGGACAAAGAAGGTAAAGGGGTCAAATATATGGTGATGGAGGGAGACTAGACTTTCGGTGGTGAGCATACAGCGTAATATACAGATGATGTATTATAGAATTGTACACTTGAAACTTATGTTATTAACCAATGTCACCTCAATTTTTAAAAATACCTGAATGGCCATCAGTAGAGAACTCACGATTCATCCCTACAACAGAATAATGTGCAACCACTGAAAAGGAGGTTGATGCTTATATATTAACATGGAAAGAGACCCTAGATAGATTAAAAGAAAACCTAAATTGACATAGTATAAAATCTCATATGGCTACAAAAAGAGGTAAGATATACTGTCAGCCTACAAAGAGGATGTTTACTTTTCACCACATACATTTCTGCATGTGGCTGTATTTTAAACAGTTAATAAATTGCCCTGAGTGAGTCAAAAATGACTTTTACAGTTTGGGCAACCGTTTTTTCCCTAGACTAGGCAGTGAGCTGCACCTCCAGTTTTTATTCTCTATTGCATGTCTGGTGCTTGTCATAAGGTAAGGCGTAGAGCAGGAAAGCTGTAACTATTTGACTGAACCATCTAGTACCTTGTTAACAAGAAAGCCAGGGCACAAAACAGCTTGTGTAGTATGAGCCCACTTTTGACTTTTTGTTTTAATATAATTTCAGATTTACTTAGAAGTTTTAAAAAACAGGATAAACATCTCCTATATGCCATTCTCCCAGAGCCCCTATTTTCTGACAATCCTGAACCTTGAGAATGAGTTGCAGACACCATGCTTCATTACCCATAATACCCCAGTGTGAATTTCCGAAGTAGGACACTCCCCTATGTAGTAACCACAGTACTATTAAAACTGAGAGAAATTACAGTAATGGATATTAACATCTGATTCTCTAATGGCATTTAAGAAATGTCCCTTCCTTTCTCTTTTACATTTGTAAATTCCACTAGTAACTATGGAGTCCTAGTAGAAAAATCAAACAATAAGAATTAAAAATGTCCCTTCACTTCTGCCTTCCCTTCAAAAACTGCAAATCCCAGAGTCAACAATTAGTAAAGCAGCCTCCAGACAACTTTCTGTGCAACCTATAGTGTTCTAATTAGTTTTTCTATCTTGTCTTTCTCATAAGAATACTTTTTGAAGATCATGCTGTATCGGTTAATTTAACTGAATTTTAACTTTTCCTCATCTTAGAAATCCACCGTACAGGTGTTTCTCCTATTGGGCATGGGTATGTGTGGACTTAGCCTTCCTTCACGTGTTCCTACTACCATTTAGGCTTAAATGAGTATTCAGTCCATGCATCTTTGTGTTTTATGTGATTCCTTAGGTAGGTGACAGAAAGGGGGGAAAAGCAACTTAAATGCTAAAAATTCCACCAGATGGGCTACTGCCAAGCCATTTACCCATTAGTGTCCCTATCAACTCACAATGGGAAACTCTGTGTCTCCAAAGTGTCACTGACACTAAGTAGCACCCTAGCCCCCTCTTAAAAACAAGCTGATAGACTGAAAATGAAATCTCATTGTCATTTAAATTTTTTTCATTATTAGTTGCTACAGTGTGAATGTTTGTGTCCCCCATAGAATTCAAGTTGAAATCCTGAGGTCGGATGTGATGGTGTGAGGAGGTGGGGCCTTCAGGGTCATGAAGGTGGAGTCTCATGAATGGGATCAGTGCCCCTATAAAAGATACCCGAGAGAGCTCCCTCACCCCTTCCACCACGTAAGAACACAACAAGAAGAGGTTTGTGCGGGAATGGGGAAGTGAGTCCTCACCAGACCCCAAATCTGCTGCAGGCTTTCTGCCTCCAGAACTGAGAAATAAAATTCTGTAGTTTATAAGCCATCCGTGCTATCGTGTTTTTGTTACAGCAGCCCAAATTAAGACACTTGTGAAGTTGATTAAATCTTCATTTGAATATACTAGCTTATCTGAGGAACCTGAACAGAGATACTAAAAGGCTTCTTTAGCATGGTGGTGGCCACAGTATGTGCTTAACTGTGCGCGCATCTGTCCCATTTTGCTCTTTGTCCTTAGCTGAAGACTATCACTGGGTGCCATGTCCTGCTCAAAGCAAGCTTTCTGTGCTAAACTACCCCATGATTCAAACATTTTTTCCACAAAAGCGTTGTGGAACACCTGCTGTGTACCAAGGGTACGACCAAGACATGCGTTGATTATAGCATTTTAACAAGGGGGCCAGATGGGCCAACAAGAGCAGAGAGCCAACAAGCTGAGGGATGGCACACAGGAGTTTCTTGTACAATTCTCTGCACTTTCGTGGGGCTTAGAAAATTCCCATGAAACATCCAGGGGTGGATATGGCTCGGGTTTGGTTTTTTTTTTCCCTGTGTTGGGCTGTACTTTTACGCAATTGAAATGAGCTGCAAGTCCCCCGTTTCCCGGGGAGGTGGGAGCCATCAGTCAACGAGGTCGGTGTCAGGAAGAAAAGACTGGAAAGCTGTCAGGGGCCAGTCTGGATCCCAGTTTCGGGGAGAAGATTTACCGGTAAGAACCATTTCGGGGCAACAGGGAAATCCAGACGTGTGCGATGAGAATGGTGAGGACTTATTCCCTTATGTGTGGCAGACCCAGGAAAATATCCCTTTTGTGTTTTAAGAGGTGCAGATGGAGCTTCTCAGGACCCGGTCGAAAGGGTGCCTTTGCCTACGTTAGGCTGCCTGAGCAGACGACAGATGGCGCAAATGTGGCAACGGGATGCGAGTACCGGCCCGGCCCGCTCTCGTGGGGGGCGTGGCTGAGACTCCCTGAG